ATTGGAAGCTTATCTTGCTGGGATCCTATGACCCCAACAGCTGACTTCCTGCCCTTTGGGTGGGGGGCTGGACTCAATGATCTTCCAAGGTCCCTTCCAGACCTAATGTCTATGAAATCTATGAAATCAAGGTAACTTCAAAAGGATTCCATCTCCTCAAAATAAGGTTTTATACAGGTTCCCCTTAGCAGCCTGATAGCAGATATTATAGCTGGCCTGACACCAAGAATATACAAAATAAAGACAACACACTGGAGAGCACAAAGGAACGGTTCGAAGAAGAGTGTTCCTGAGAAACTTGCACTTACAGGAAAAAAAAGAGGCAAAACACTGTTTCAACTTCTAGGATCTAGGGGTGGTACATACCTCACCCAAGGCATTTCTTACTTTCTGAGTAGGCACAAAGAACTTCAGAAGCAGAAGTTACAGGATAGCTACAAAGTTTAAAGGAAAATTGCAGTATATGTGTAAGAGAGGAGATGTTTACAGAGTTAGGGAGAGGAGGAGGTCTTATACAAACCGAAAAAGGTGGGAGTCACAAGGCTATGAGGCTTTGAAGGTATTGTTATTTGTTTTGAAAAAGTTTCTTAACCAGGAACTGGATTTTCAAATGTTACTATACTTCAGTGGCTGCCATCATGGCATATAGAAGTGGAACAGGATAGCCAATATACCAAGTTCTGGAAAGCTACCCCAAGATGTTTTCTCCCTGTATAAAATAAAGTAGTTCCCCTTCACAGGTTATTTTAGCCTTCGAATACCAGCCACCATAAATGTGACTTCTGGCTATCTGAAACTGATTCAGTAAGTCACTATCAGTTATTCTAATTATGAGCAGGAGCGAAATTAATAGGTACAGTCTGGCAATTTGTAATAGTTTGCTTTAAGGAGGGTTTGTGTAGTATAATCTTATGTTTCAAGAAATGGTGTTTTCAGCTTCAATATTCTGAAACACGAAAGTTTATTTTCAAGGAAATATGAAGATGGCAGATAGTGTGGGGCTTCCATGAGATAAAAGCTGCATGGCTGTTTTAGGAATAAAACATAATTGGCTTGGCATTTTATGTTTTCCCCCAAACACAACCACATAGACACATCTAATATTATTTAGACAGCATTTTTATTATATGCCAAGAAAAATGGTGCAGACAGTTTCTATTACCACAATGAGTCTGACACTATTTCTGTGGGAGGACAATTGTCCTAATAAAAGAAAGTCTGAAAAATAAGGACTAAAAAGAAGTTATATGGCCCAGTGGGTAGGACACTAACCTGGGAATCTACAGACTTTGAACCTATATAACCTACTGTGTGACCTTGGACAAGTTTCTTTACCAGTACTTCTTTATTCGGTCTTCCCCCAACAAAGTTGCAAGAATAGTTGCTTCAGTATCTACAAAAGGAAGTGCCATGTAAGTGTTAAGAATTATTAAGAGCTAATACCAGTGTCTCCTTCCTTTTCAAATAAATGCACAAAAGATTCTTTAAATCCTCAAGATTTATAAACAAACTTGCAAACAACAAAACCTAAAAATCTATTACTTTTCTAAAGGCAAAAACACAATAACCTGGATGACTAGAAAAGATGATGTGATTATATAATCTTCCTCATGCTTTCCGTCAAGAAAAACTGTGAGATACAATATTTATTTATTTATTACAGGTCTTTTGCACTGTTACTGCTTTTATGAAGGACTCACCTGATCAGCAGTCATTGTCTGAAGAGAGCACTGGATTTTATATTGGGATTAAGGTATTAGTGATGTGCCCTGATTTACTGATTTTCTCTATACTGAAGAATATGTATTTATTAACCATCATGCTTTGAAAGATAACGCACAATAAAATAAGCCTTGATAGTCATAAACAATACTGCTACTACATCTCCAGTAAGACAATGTCTTAGTAAATGATATACCATTTTATTTGTTTGGAAACCTTTCTAATGCACCCATGAGTGTAGTGTATAGGTGCTAGCACTGTTAAAACACATAGTATGAAAAAGTGCTTCATGTATTCTATAATGTTTCCTCAAAGCTATGTATAATGCTAGGAGTGCCTCATTTCCATGGAGTCAGTATGCCTTTGCATTCAGACTATAAGGATAAGGAAAGAGAAATTCATGTCCAGAAAATATCTGCCTAGGGCCATGTGTAGATGAAATGAGGCGCATATGTGCGCAACACTTTAAAGCGGGCTAAATGCTTTTGCTCTGCTTTAATGGTGTCAGTGTTTGCACACCTCAGTGGCATATTGCGCATTAATTCCAGCCGCTGCTATGGAGGGAAGCACCATCCCCCTCACCCCCCTGCAGCTCAGGGACTGCTCCACCCACCGGCAGCCCATGCTCCCCTCCCCGCCAGAGAGGCAGGTAAGTCAGTGGGGTGTGTGCATGACAGGGGGTTTTATTAGTTCTAAATTGAAGTGGTGTTTTTTAAAACCCGCTGCTTCAATGTAGGACCCCTGTTTCATCTACACACACCCAAAGGTCACAGGAAGAGACTGAAAAATCAGGTCTTTTAAGTATAACGCACAGAGATAATGTTTTTGTAAGGTAGATGCCATTGATATATCAATGCATTTGGATGCTGTTTTCAATATTAAGAAACAAATTCTATTGGTCTTTTTGAGCAACAATTGTGTCTCGATGTGTATTGTTAGGTTTGGACCAGAGTCTTGTGTAGACCAGTCAGCAATGTGTGAGATGTTGTGGTCCATACTTACTTTATGACGGTTGGAGAGAGCATGCCTCCTACCTCCAGTTATCTGCTGGCTTCATAATTTATTGCATAGTAGACAGCATTTGCCTTGGCAGCAGGGTAGATCTGTATTCTGTATATGAAGGTCAGATGGAAATGGTAGTGTGGCAGGCACGGAACCACAAAGAAAGACTTACCCTGACCGGGTGAGGAGTGGAGCTGGCGGGATGCTGCGCCAGAACAGAAGTGCAGCGAAAGTGAAACCGCAGGAGCAAAATATGCTGCGCTAAAAGAAAAAAAGGAAAAGGAACAGCAGAGTTGGGAGGAGCTGGGGCCGGCTCCCATGTTGGCATGAGCATGCTTTATGGCAGCATGCTGGGGCCGAATTCACAGCCAGCCCCCTGAGACCAGGATAAAAGGCCCAGCAGAAGAGCAGCTTAGGGGACCAGGAGTGAGTTCCCAGATGGGCCCAGAGTGACCTAGAACAGAACAGAGCCCCACTGAAGGGACATAGTGGCTGCCCCAGGAAGGGACTTTCCAAGATAAACAGAGCCATACAAGTCTCAGTGACTTATCTGAAGCAGCACCATGGACTCCGAACATCTCCAGCCCAGATTGGATCCAGGTAGGACCTGAAGGGACAAGAAGAGATGGACATCTGAGCCACAGCAAGTATAGAGCCAAGAGAAAGACAGAGATGCTGGGGAGCAAGATAACCCAGGGTTGGGAAGATGCTTAGGTAGGACCAAGTACGGTTGGGGAAAACTTGGGCGTGATAACATCCCAATCCGACCTTCATAAATTCAGAAGACCAGAACACCAGAGTCTATACTGTACCACCACTAGCAATCCAGAAACAACATCTTTGGTTGGTGTTAGGTGGGGTATAGGGGAGGCAGAGATCCAAGTAGGAAGAACAGTCAGGAAGATTAAAAGAAAGTACCAGGAAATGCGGGACAAACTATCTTCCTCCCAATTAAAATAATTTATTCCAACAAGACGTGGCAGGAAAGACCCCCTGGGGAACCTTCCAAAATCTAACCCAGTAACAAGCTTGTCTCTTCCTTAAACAACGGCAAAACTAGAAAAGCCCCTACAGACATGATGCATGGGTGAATGGTATGGAAGATTACAGGCAGCTACAATGAGAATCACATTGCAAGAGGTGATACATTTGGATGAACCACAAACTCAAGGTTACCCTGAATGTTGACTGGAATTACTAGCCCTGGTTGCCTATCCAAATTCCAGTTTGGGATGTTATGCCTTCTCTGCCCGGTTTAGTAGCACTTTAAAATAAATGGGAATCCTCTACCTTGCTTTCACTTGTGGCCCTTATAAATTCCTGGTTGCTTTGGTTAAGTGAATAACGTTGCTGTCATTTTAAAACTATTTTCTAGGATTTCTCTGTATTAATCTCGAAGAACAGTCTTTGTACCAAGACGGTGCTATGACATTATCAAGTGCAAAATAAGACCTTTTTAAAGAGAGACTGCCATTATGCTCCAAGATCTAACCCTTGGTAAACATGACAGTCTCTACTGAACCTAGCAGGTTTTGATCTAACAGAACAGAAAACAGAATTTGACCCAAAGTTTATTATAAAGCACATCAAAATTCTCTATCCATGCCTCCACAGTAAATGTCCTACCATATGCATTACGCACTGCTCCACATAGAACACCTCCTAAATGAAAAGCAGTGTGCACGTGCAAGCGAAGTAGCCTGGGGGCAGGCTAACTGGCATTGGCATTCAGTTGGATTGATAAGAAACCTAGAGACACTGCTACTTCTGATTTTGGAGGCAGCTCATATGCAGCAGTGCAGAGAACCTAGGGCACTTGTGCCTGGGATTATCAGTTTACCATGTAGATGTGTCCCTAATAATAATGAAAAATATTATCCTGTATAAATTGATTATACAATATGGAAAGTTTTTTTGCTTTTTAGTTTTATATATACATGCATGGTATAAAAGGAAGTGACCCTACCCATTTGTGTGAGCTATCCAGAGTTTAGGTTTGAATGTGCCAAACTAAAAGTGCTGGTCACTAATTTTCCAGTAAAAGATGTTTCTATTGGAAAAGGCAAACTTGGTTAAATTACAGTGTTCTGTCTGGTTTCCTGACAGCCTGCCTGATGGACTGCTGCAAACTGGGAACCTTGCAGCCTTGGAAGTCTTGGATGGAACCAAGGTCTCTCAAGGCATATAGACTCCTTCAACCACAATTGAGTGTCTGGAAGACCTGGGAGCCCCAGGTCAAGCCTAAACTTACAGAGCATCACAGGCTGCCCCTTTCAAGAATTGAGAAATAGGGAAACTGGAAGATCTGGAGATCTATTCCTTAAGAAAACACAAAGTTTCAAAATGTATTTTTCTTATGCACAAGAGATTTTTTTTTTGAACTTTCAGAGTTTCCCAGGGGTCCAGGCTCTGATCAGACCTAACACCATGTTTTTTCTACTACACTTGTTCTTCCTCATAAGCAAAAATGGACAGGGAGGGAATGGAGAAAGCCCAGACCTTTCACTTTGCTTTCCAATGCATAAGCCCATGGAGCTATGCCACTTCATATATGAATCACCAGCAAACTGTTGCTCCCTGCTGCAAGGAGAAAGGACAAGGAGAAAACAGTTCAGTAATCTTACCTCGATCCTGAGCAAGCTTTTTGAGAAAATTATTCTGGCACATATCCACAAGGGGCCAGGAGGGGAGATTATGCTTAGGGGCAACCAACACGGGTTCATTAGTGGCAGGTCCTGTCAGACCAACCTGGTGGCCTTCTATGATCAGATCACCAAATCATTTG